AAAGAAAGGGAAGAAGGAATTTATCCAGGACACTAGAAACTATAATTAGTCCCTTAAATACTGGTTTTGAACCAGGCACTGTATTAGCTTTGTCCATATTTGTCTTATTTACCTCTCGCAATATCCTAGTGAAGTAGATGCTGTTACTAATTATTTACACAGAGAAGGAAAGTGAGGCTCAGAGAAGTTAAGTAACTTGTCCAAGATCACAGAGCAAGTGAGACAGTCACAACTGGAACTCAGGTCTCTTGGGTTCCAAAGCTCTTCTGGTAGCTGCCTCCCTAAGGGAAGGTGCGTGGCAATGAATACAACTGTGTCCTCAGCAATGCCCCACTTCATATTTTTGCACATTCACGTTTCTCACCAGTTCCTGCTGGCCGAACTTGAGATCAGCCCTGACCTGCAGATCTCCATCAAGGACGAGGAGCTGGCCTCCTTGCGGAAGGCCTCGGACTTCCGCACCGTGTGCAACAACGTCATCCCCAAGAGCATCCCAGACATCCGCCGGCTCAGCGCCAGCCTCTCCAGCCACCCTGGCATCCTCAAGAAAGAAGACTTTGAAAGGACAGTGCTGACCCTAGCCTATGCGGCCTACCGCACAGCCCTGTCCCATGGCTATCAGAAGGACATCTGGGCGCAGTCCCTCGTTAGCCTCTTCCAAGCCCTGAGGCATGACTTGATGCGCTCCTCACAGCCAGGAGTACCTCCCTGAGAGACTGGCCCACACCAGGACCTCGGAGCAGGGACCAGCACAGTAATCCAGAAAGTCTTCATTCTCTACTCCATTTACAGAGACCAGCAACAAAACACGTACCGCTGACACAGAGCAGCAGAGATCAAACACAGTAACCCCGATGCTCTTTTCTCCTTGTAGTTTCCTGGAAGACACATCTGATTCATGCCATCATGTGACCTGGAAGGGCTGGAGTAGTAATTCAAGATGCCTCCATGGGCAGAATGGGTTGCCTGTGGCAGGCGGAAGTCTGATATGCTTCAACCCAGAGCACCAGCCACACACACTCAAGAGTGAAGACAGGCCGGGCACAGCGGCTCATGCCTGTAATCCCAGCACTTTGGGAGGCTGAGATGGGAAGATTATTTGAGGTCAGGAGTTCAAGACCAACCTGAGCAACACAGTGAAAACCCATCTCTACTAAAATCACAAAAATCAGCCGGACACGGTGGCGCATGCCTGTAATCCTGTAATCCTAATAAGGATTCCTCATTAGCTCAGAGATCTTTCTGGCTTCTCCTAAGTTTATGGCTGTGTTCTGCAAGCTAAAGCTGCAATAAGTCTGATCTTTGAATGAGTGAGGATTTATTGGGCTAAATTTGATTCTGAAATGGGTATTTAACAATTGTCATTTGATAATGATGAGGTCTGGACTCCTTCAAAATCTTTGAGCAAATAAGCTTTGCCTAGCAGTGCTACCTGCATGATCTTTTTGGAGAAATACTGGGATGCAGGAAGGAGGTATTCATCATCAGAGAAAAACACAGTTTTGCATCCCGATATTCTCACGCTCAGAAGATTAGTAAGTCTCAGTCTCTCTTTCTCATTCCTTGACCATACTGCTCTTTTACCTCCTCCAAATGCAGATTCTGATATACGCTTTTTTTGTTCAATCTTTCTCTTTCTAAGTGTACATGTTCTCTCTGACACGGTCACTCTGCTTGTCTCTTTCTTTCTTTGTTTTTTTTAGTTGGTAGCTCTGCTGCTCTATATTTGGGCCCAGTTCCATATATCTTTGTGTCTGTTTTTCGATGCATCTGCAAGACTCTTCTGCTTGACTTTGGCTCTGTCTCTGCTGACCCACACTCTAACACTCATCTGTCAGTCTTCTCTGGGTATCATTGTTTAAATAAAGCAAAAGTCAGTGTACAGACAGTGTTGGGATCGCCCAGAGGCAGATAAACACGGTAGCCTACCTTCACTGTTTGTACTTTTCCTAGATGTCAGGTGGATTAGCAATGGCCTCAGTCCCTAGACACTGTGCAATACCCTGATAGTCAGTGTCCCGCCCTGAGGCTCCACTCCCTTGACAATGGATCTGAAAACTTTCTTGTACTCAGAATCATCAGATAGAAAGGCCCACCCCTGTAGTCCCTGACCACCATGTTATGTAGATGGTGCTCCCAGTAGTTAGGAAATCCATGAATGGGAGGATGGTTCCCAGGAACACTCACCCAGCAACAAAAAAATTAAACACAAATTGGGGCCTGAATTTCTGTGGCAATCAATGACTGAAAAAAAAATAGAAAAAAGAAGGACATGACCTTTTTAAAGACAGATGAAGACTCGTTTTCAGTAACTAGGATCCTAAAAACTATTTTAATCTGAATGCAGATAATTGTTTACCCACAGTTTTATAACAGTGACTTCACTGACATGCAGAATCGAATACTATGGTCACCACCAGCAGCCAGAAAACCCTATTCTTTGCCCAAGGAACAGTAGAAATGTAGACTAGACAGACAAACAGGGTCTCCTATTTTGCCTCATTAGTGCCACACTCTACACAACTACAGTCATGAAGGGGTCACATTTGGTTATAATCACTATTAGAATAATATGGGAGTGTGATGTTTATAGTGGAAACTTGCCCATGACTTATGTAACCATTTCTGCTGACAAATTTTAGGATCTAAAAACTCTGTGGGTTTTTTTGTTTTGTTTTTGTTTGTTTGTTTTTTGAGACAGTCTCTCTCTGTCCCCAGGCTAGAGTGCAGTGGCGCCTCTGCCTACAGGGTTCAAGCGATTCTCCCACCTCAACCTCCCGAGTAGCTGGGACCATAGGTGTACATCACCATGCCCTGCTAATTTTTTTGTATTTTTAGCAGAGATGGGGTTTCACCATGTTGGCCAGCCTGGTCTCAAACTCTTGACCTCAAGTGGTCTGCCGGCCTTGGCCTCCCAAAGTGCTAGGATTACAGGCGTGAGCCATCGCGCCCGGCCCACGATCTAAAAACTTTCTACGTTTCCTCCATCGTTGGCATCCTCACAGCTATCTCCAGTGTCACTCAAGAGACATCAACAAACATTTAACTGCTGAAACCTTCATTGCTCTGTCACCTCACCTTGAATCTAACAAATCAAAGTATTTCTGCAGGTCCAACAGTCTAAAATTAAATGCTTGTTAAATTATTTTGTACAACACCCCTTACTTTCCTAATCCATTTCAATATCTTATTTTTTTTTTATTGTGGTAAAAAACACATCATGTAAAATTTACCATCTTAACCATTTTTAAGCATATAGTACAGCAGTGTTAACTCCATGCATGTTGCTGTGCGACAGACCCCCAGAACTTTCTCATCTTGTAAGTCTGAAGCTCTATACGCATTGAACAACTCCCCTTTCCCCCTTCCCCCTGCCTGCCCCAGCTCTTGGTACCATTATTCTGCTTTCTGTTTTTGAGAGTCTGACTACTTAAGATACCTCATACAAGTGGGATCTGGCTTACATTTCTTGAGCATTGTATTCTGGAAAAGTGTTTCCTTCCTCTGAAAAATGGGTAGAGTTCTGAAGGAGAACTACTGGTGTTATTGTATCACTTGCTGTACCTATTTTTATTTAACAAATATTCGTCTATGGTATAATAAAAATGTCATGATTGAGTTGCTCACCGGAATCTTTGTTATCTCAGAGTATCTCACTGAGGAATCTGAAATGGTTCATGGGTTTAACAGTGGATGTTGACTTCCACAGCTGCTTATAATTATCCGGTGTCTTTAATGTTTGCGACCAAAACATCACACGTGGTATTGTTCATTCTGAGTTTCAAAATCATAACCAAAAAAATGAGGCCAGAATGTAGTAAATACAGTAGCCAGTCTTTAACATGCATTTAAAGAGTTGAGTCATCCTAGCCCATCCTACGATGGCAAGATAATTTCAAAGGGGACCTGGGCTGTCCACAGTTGCACCTGCCTTAAAAGTCAAGAAGAATTTGTTTTTTGGGTGACTTCCCTGGTCACTTTAGCCTGGGGATCATTTCCAAGTAGTATAGCTGCAGATCTTGGAACGCCATTCCTGTGTTCTGTGAATTCAAGACAACGTGGGTTTTATAACCCTTTGACTCTGCTCAGCATCTCCCAGATCAAGGTAAGGTCATGTTGCCAGGAACCACTACTTACAGAATGTTTGGGCTTTTGCTTTTGCTTTTCTTCCTTGCCCCAAATCCACATGTCCGTTCTGAGAAAAGAAGCTAACAACTTCTTCCAGTCTGTAAGCAGGAGAAATTCCAGAGTTCAGCTGCAGCTAAGACCTTGTCCCTGAACTCGTCAACTTCTTCCCTGCCCTCCCACCTCCTCCTTTTGTACCAGCCAAAGAAGGGCTTCGGTTTCCTTTTTGGAGAGCCTCAGAGAGAAGCATTTGAGCACCTACTTTAGCCAGAGAGTCCACTGACATCTGGGCATGAGACTGGCATCTAGACTTTGCCAGGGAGGCAGCTGTACTTTCCAAAAGATCTGGAGTCTTTCTCACGGGCTCATACCCTCGGCTGGCCTAGACCCTTTATATTCCCCCCTGGTGCTGAGGCGAACGATCTTTGCCAGCAGGGAAGTCTGAAAGGCTTAACTTTGTACTCTCTGAGGCAAATTCTCCAGAAGGAATGTTGCATTTTCTCCCTGCCACCAGGCACATTCCCTTCCTAAGGTCTAGATCAGCAGGTGGCCCTCCCGGCCAAAGCTCTGTGTCCTATGATCCGAAACAATAAAGCTGTGCTTGGGTACGTGAGATTATGTTTACGATGATGGTCATCACTCCAGCCGTAGGAAGTTGGAGAAACTGAAAAATAAGCTTAGCAGGCTGCCTAGGTTCTGCGGAATCAGCAAGCCCCCGCTGTGACCAATCAAGAGCGGCCTCGGCGAGAGAAATTAACTCTTTCTTTTCAATTTGCTGATTGGCTTTGAGGAGTGGGCGGAGCTACTGCCTCTGTCCCGGCTTCCCATTGGTGGATGAAAGTTAAAGGTGGGCCTCCAGTAAGTTTTTGTCCTTAGATAAAAAGGAATGTCGTGGGGACTTTTCTTTTCTGCTTTGGAGGCCCAGGCTCAAGGCAAATTATAAGTAGGGAACCAATCTGAGGGAAAGACATGTGAACAGAGTTAAGGTACCAGGTCCTGGGAGCGACCAGCAGCCCCACCTGAAGTCCGCCTGCAACTCTGACAAGCTCAGGTGCTTGTTTTAAGGAAAGGGGCTACTAGATTCTTACGAACAGGGAGCCTAGGTAGGAGATGAAACAAGGACTCCCCAAAATAGGTCATCAGAGGGAGGAAAACTGATGGAGAGCACAATATGCTCTGAGCGTTTTTCATGTTTTTAAGCTTTTAAATGATTTCTTCAAGGCCGAGCAGCAGCAGCAAAGGTGTGGTTTGATGGATTAAGAGAGTTTTTGCTGACACCTAGAATGAAGTTACTCTATTACTAATCAAGCCGAGAGAAGGCCCACTATGCCCCCGTTTATCATCCTTTCCCAGTTCCTTTTTGCTGGTCACAAAACGATGCTCATCAATCCCACCTAAAGCAGGAGGCCGGGAGCCCAGCCTCTTGCAGAAACAGCGAGGGTATAACTGCCCTCCAGTTCTGCCCCCAAGACGAAGGAGGACTCTTGGAAGCCAAGAAAGGTTTAAGAAGTCTCTCTGGATAGAGAGCAGTGCCCAGGGAGGAAGCCCTTCGCCGGCAGAGCGGGGTCCGAGGACGAGCTGGAGAGGACAGCGGCGCGATGGGCCTGCTGCAGGGCCTGCTCCGAGCCCGGAAGCTGCTGCTGGTCGTCTGCGTCCCGCTCCTGCTGCTGCCTCTGCCCGTCCTCCACCCCAGCAGCGTGAGTACCGACCTGCGCCCGCCGGGGGTCGGGGAGTCAGTGGGAGGGCAAAGAGGGGAGGTCGATGGGGAACATGGGGTGCTCAGGCAGTCCCTCAAAGTGGCTTGTGGTGGGTTTAAAGAAATGGAAGGGTTTTTCTGGAGGAAACCAAGATACCTTCTTCCTAAAAGCTGTCATGTTCATCTCCTATCCCAGTCCCAGTGCCCTAACCCCATGGTCTCCACCAGGGGTCAGGACAGAGTAGAGGCCTTGGCAGAAGTGACTGATGGATGTTGCACCAAGCAGCAGGCCAGCCCGCCCCAGCAGCCAGGGCCAGCGACACCCATGCAAACGCCATGGTGCATCTGTGTTTATCGGGAATTCACCTGGGACCCTGGTTATCTGAGAGCCCCTGGAGACACAGAAAGAGCTCCCAACAGTGGCACTGAGGAGAAGGCTGGGGGAGGAAGAGAACGGTGGAGCCAGTCTGTGGTCTGTGGTGGCATCCTGGTGGGCTTCGATGACCACAGTTGAAGCTCTAATCCCGAAGGCTTCTATCAGCTTCAGGGAATGAATGATTAGAGAAGGAACGAAAGAAGAGCTTGGCAGGCTGCCCCGGTCCCATGCATGTGGCCTTGAATTATTTGTGTCTTCTGTGTTTTCTTCTCTGTGCCCTTGAAGGACAGACAAAAAGTGTCACGATGAAAAAGAGATAAGAGCCCTCAAACTCTACCCTGTGAGCTCATTCTTCACTTGGTTTGTGTGAACAGAGGAACCTGAGCTCTGGTTCCGCATCCAGCTCGACTGTTACACCCTCCCCGTGGTCACCTGCTTCCCTTCCCTTCCTTCCGCTGTTCTCTTCCTCCTGTCTGTGGCTTGTCCCCGTCCTCCAGCTGGCACTGCCCTGGAGACTTTAGGAAAAGTAAGCTAAAACAGGTTAATCACGTTTGTAGGAGGGGGAGTAATTCTTCTACTCTGCTCCTTAAGTAACTTGGTAACCAAGATTAAGTTAAAAAGTTAAACAGAGGGGATTAGGATGGCTCTTCTCAAAAACAAACTGGCTTAAATCTTTCATAGAATAAATACTCCAGAGTGCCAGGGAGATGCCAATTAAAACTGGGCTGGGATTAGCAGACAGTGATTGTTGCTGACATTTTTCCTGGACTGTTCCCCAGTCAATTTTCTGCTTTGTCCAAATGGGTCTGATTTTTTTTCTTTTTGTGTCTTTTCTTGTTTTTGTTTTTTCTCAATGTCAGGTTGATATAAGGGACTGTTACCAAGGGACATATTAGCCTCCTCTCCTAAGCAGTATCAGGAACCTCTCATATCTCCTGGTTGAGTCAGCCCCACCTTTGGGGACCTTGGCCACAGCCCACAGAAGGCACAGACTAGGTGCCCAGCAGATAGAGTGTCTTTCATCCATCTGTCACCCCTTTCATCAAACTTTTTTTTTGTAGACGCAGAGTCTCACTCTGTCACCCAGTCTGGGGTGCGGTGGCACAATCATAGCTCACTGGAGAGCTCCTGGGGTTAAGCAATCCTCGTGCCTCAGCCTCCGGAGTAGCTGGGACTACGGGCAAGCAAGCACCACCACATGCAGCTAATTAAAAAAAATTTTTTTTTTTTAATTTTTTTTGAAGGAATGGAGGTTTCACTATGTTGCCCAGGCTGGTCTCAAACTCGTGGTCTGATGTGATCCTCCCACAATGTTGAGATTACAGGTGTGAGCTACCATGCCTGGCCTGCCTCAAACTTTTGAATTCTGATATTGAACCCTTAAAATTCCAAATAGATGTGCTTGCCCTGGGCTGGAGCTGACAGCAGCGATGCAGTACCTGGACGGGAGCTCCTGGCCTGCAGTTTTGATGGTTCTTCTAAGCGACAAGCCTCAGCTACATTTTAGGAGGAGTCAAAATGACCTTCCCCCTTTTTCTTGCCCAGCTCTCTAAAACTAGAGGTCCAGACACTATTTATCATGTTACAGAAGAAGAGGGTACAAGAGAGGGCATCCATAACTAAGCCCTTCCTCAGTGCCCCCAGTGGGATAAAAGTTGCATCTCAACCACCCAAGCTAAATTTTTTTAAAAGGCGCCCCCAGTCGTTCATGGTAACAGATAACAGACTTTAACCTCCTTCCCGTGAAGTTGGAGTGGGATATCACTGGAGTGGTCAAACTGCATGGAAAACGAGCAGTTCCATGCCTAAGTTAGTAGCTGACTAGGAAACGTCCTACATAGGGAAATGCCACTTTCGAACTCTTTCCTTTACTTGTAAACAGAAACCAAAAAATAGTAGATAGCACGGTCCCTTGAAGACATTGTCTGAATACTCACCAATCCCCAACCCCCACACACCTGTTTCTAAGGAACCACAGTGGTGTTGATAAAGAGCCTGGGGGTTGCAGAATATTCTCTCCAGATGAGCGAGACCTGACAGCCAGCAGAGAAGTCCAGCGCAGTTTAGCCCACGTGAATTGAGCCACCTGCTAGACATGGGATAGGCGCCGGGGACATGGGACTCCTTGTAAGCAAACTTTGCAGTATTTTTGGTTGTCTGAATACAAGCTTACCTCCTGAATTTTGGGATGGTTTAGAAGTGGAAAAATGAAGTTTATAGAGATTCCATGGGTGAAATAAGTGGAAACTATACGGAAAGACTCTCTAAAGGTGTCTCTTGTCCATTCTTCTACTCTAAGGAAAATCCAGGTAAAAAATGATAGTAATCAATCCTGTCCTTACTACTGCTGGGTGAAGGTGGCCTGATGACTTACTTCCTCCAGCAACCTAGTCGCATGTCTAATAATATTTACAACCGAAATGTTTGCCTTATTTTACCCAAATTCTCCTAATTCAAAAGTAAAGGTGCCCAGCAGAAGGAAAGTCCTCTCTCTTTCTTTCTCCCTCTCTCTCTCCTCTTCTTTTTTTTTTTTTTTTCGAGACAGAGTCTCACTCTGTCACCCAGGCTCTAGAGCGCAGTGGCGCGGTCTTGGCTCACTGCAACCTCTGCCTCCCGGGTTCAAGGCATTCTCCTGCCTCAGCCTCCTGAGTAGCTAGGATTACAGGCATGTGCCACCACATCTGGCTAATTTTTTTGTATTTTTAGTAGAGACAGGGTTTCGCCATGTTGGCCAGGCTGGTCTCGAACTCCTGACCTCAAGTGATCCACCCACCTCAGCCTCCCAAAGTGCTGGGATTACAGGCTCCTATCCTCTTTCTCCTTTCCCTTGCTCGCCACCTTCTCTCCCCACCTCCTCCCCCTTAACTTCTAACTTGTAGCCCTGTAATGACCAGATCAAGAAAGACTAAGTGTTCCAGGAAGAAATAAGGGGTCTCCAGTGAGGGGCAGACATTTTGTCTCTCAACTCTTTCTCTTCAACTGGAATTAAGATCTGCCGAGAACACGTGGGCTTGAACTCGTTTAGGTAGTTTTATTTCTATAGCAAACAGGGTATTTCTCTAAATTGAATTCGTTTCCAAGTGGAGCCTTTTTTTTCCCCACCATTGGTTCTGTTGTCTTATCAGCACTTCCAAAAGTTTTATCTTCCCTCTGATCTTTTGGCCCCAGAGAACATCTCAGTGGGGAGCTACAGTCAACAATCATTGGGCCCAGTTCCCATTTGTCAAACGCCAATCCCATAACCCACGAATATCAGGAGGGCAAAGGTCCTTGCCAGCCCAGCTGATTTAATCACTCCAGCTGCCCCTCACTGATACAGCGACCTTTTGTAACTTTTATGCAAGAGTTTGAGGACGCGTGTTCTGAACTCAAGGGGCGATAAACAGCAAGATTTGTCGGGTTCCTTGATCAGCAGCCAGCCTCAGGGCAAGTCAGACACGAGTCCTGGTGGTTTAGAACTATGTAAAAATTGAGGTGCCCACAGCCAACTTGGATTTTCTATAAATGGTCTTCCGAGTCACGGAGCTCGGTGATGTTCCCATTAACAAGGCCCTTGAACTGTAGCCTCTCCCTAGAGCAAGCCAGTAACCTGTCATAACAGCCTTCATCAGCGCAATTCAGGGCCATCAGCATGACTAGAGGGTAAGCTGCTGGAGGGCTGGCTTTTGATAAGAATGTTGTACTTCATTATCCTGTGCACCCCTGGGTTGTCCAGCCAGCAAAGTGAGTGGGCTGTGGAAAATGTCAGTGAATTTCCAGGCCTCCCCTTCCAGATAGATGGCTGTCTTTAGTCTTTGTAGACGGATGTTTCCATGGGGTCAGGCAGGTAGAATGGAGTCCAAGAGCAATGAGAACCAGACCCTGGTTAGGGCGGTGGCTCTCAATCAGGGATCATGTTACCTCCCCAAGGGACATTTGGCAATGTCTAGAGACGGTTTTTTGGTTGTCACAATGGAGGAAGTGCTACTGGCATTTAGTGGGTAGAGACCAAGGATGCTGCTCCTTTACAGTGCACAGGACAGCCCCCTGCAACAAGAAACTATGTGGCCCTAAATGTCAGTAGTGCCAAGGCTGAGAAACACTGAGTTAGGAGCTGATGCTTCCTCATCCAAAATGAGAGTCCCATGCTCAGGATCGCTGCCTTCCTCCTCAGTCCTCCCCCAGGGAAGGGAGCTCCTTATTAACTCGTACAGAGACCTTTGGATGAAGGATCAGTCTCTAGACGCAAAACATGATAGAACCTCAGATCCAAAACTGAAGGGGGAATGGTCAACCAGTTCTTGCCTAACAATTTATTTGATTAAAATTTACTACTGAATCAAGTTGTTTCAGCAAATAGTCTAAAACAGGGGGATTTAACTTTGTTTATTCGTTTTTAAAGCAGTAAAGCCTTTTTTTTTTTTTTCAAATGAAATTTCACATGTAATGTTTGTATATGAATCAAATGAGAACAAAGCTACTCCATTTGGGATGAGGCTAGAGAGGGGGTCCAGATTCCAAGTCTTGCTCATCTCCCTGGGATATTCTTGAGACACACCCAAGATGCCCGGGGCTGCAAGAGCACAGTCCAGAAACCACCTTTTGGATTGTTTGTAAATCTCACTTCTTACTGATCCACTTCTCTTCAGTCAGGCACACACCAATGCCACATATCTTCATACCTTAGGCACATGAGTCAAATTCAGGATGGCTGATCTCAGAGCTTACATGTGAACTAACTGTCCTTTTTTTTTTTTCTTTCTTTTTTTCCCGGAGACAGCATCGCACTCTGTGGTCCTGTAGTCCCAGGCTGGAGTGCAGTGGCACATGACCATAGCTCACTGCATGCACCCTAAAGCCCCTGGGCTCAAGTGATCCTCCGGCCTCAGCCTCCCAAGTAGCCGGGACTACAGGCCTGTGCCACCACACCTGGCTAATTTATCTTTTATTTTTTAGAGATGGGGTCTTGCTGTATATTGCCCAGGCTGGTCTCAAACTCCTGGGCTCAAGTGATCCTCCCACCTTGGCCTCCCAAAGTGCTGGGATTACAAGTGTGAGCCCCAGTCCCAACCGCACGCAGTGATTCCTATCTCCAACTACCCCAAGAACTTCTCCTACCCAGTCAACTTAACACCAGTTACATCCCAGTTCAAGTTAAAGCTTTGAACTCCACTTGTATGGTTTTGTAATCATGGGTCTGGTCACTGCAGTTAAGTTCAATCCCCACCTTGGCAATTTCCAGAACCCTCACAGCTGCCTGGCTACACACTAGTGCAAACCACAGGCCAGGCATCGGTCCCCCAAGGAGCAGCCAGAATGTCACCCACCAAAGGATGGACTCACCATGTATTCACCATGCTCGCCTGCCAGTCCAGCTTTGGTCCCAGGGCTGTATGCTTGTACCTGCATTAGAGTCCGAGTACCTGCTGCTTCGATGTCAGGGTTGCATCCGGACGCTCAGTGGCAGTGACTATTCCTGCTATTCCGGTGAATGACTGCCCCTTTCCTTCCCTCGCAGGAGGCCTCGTGTGCTTACGTGCTGATCGTGACTGCTGTGTACTGGGTGTCGGAGGCAGTGCCTCTGGGAGCTGCAGCCCTGGTGCCGGCCTTCCTCTACCCGTTCTTCGGAGTCCTCCGATCCAATGAGGTTAGACCACTTGTAGCCCCACCCCCCTGCCTGGGTCCCTGCAGGGCCCCTGAAAGAGAGCCTCCAATGAAGGGAGATTCACTCAGCACTTGAGGATGAGGGGGCCTTGTCACCCACTGGAATGACCGCTTAACACTGAGCCTTGGCACCTGCAGTTCTAGACCCTGAATTCCTCTCCTTCCACCCATAATCCTCATCTCCTTCAAACTGGCTCAAAACTTGCCTCTTTCAGGAAGCCTTGCTTGATTAAACACATCCAGTTGCTCCCTCGGTCTGAAACCTTTTAGGAGCTGTGTGATTGATGCCGAAAACTCAGCTGCTGTTGACCTTTTTCAGTCTCTGGATGTCTGTTTAGACGATAAGCACACAAAGGCAGGAATCCGACCTCCCATTCTGGGGGCATCTCATTAGAAAGCTGAGCCTGTATCCAGTAGGTGCTCAATGAATGTTTGTTACAGAGAGACTTACCATGTTTCCCTGAGCCCTGACAATGTTTTCATCCACCCCTCCAAAAAACAACATTTGTTTCTTCTCCCCCGACTTAAGTTACCGCATGTTCTTTCTTTGCGCCTTCCCTAGAGTGAGCCCTCTCCATTCACTGTCTGTGGCATTCTCAAAAGCTCAAACGGAAATTGTCAGCGGGAAGCCCAGGTTGTGGCAAAATTTCAGAGCAAATGTTTAAGCCTGCCATGAGTAGGGAAAAAGAAACAAAATAAAACAGCCAGAACCTGGGAGCAAAATGAATGATGATCTCATTCAGCAACACCTGGTTCCATTTGAACTGTCTCATTATTCACACCTGGTCTCTGCTTAGGGTTTCTGATGAAAAAGCCTGAATTGTAGAGACGGGGGTAAGGTTAGGGGCAGAGGCACAGAAGGAAGACGAAAGGAAGCTCATGTTTGAATGCCTACTAAGCGCCAGGCACTCTATCAGAAGTGCTACATTTGTTATGTAATACTCCCAAGAGCTCTACAAGGCACATGCTAGTATTTCCATTTTACAGCTAAGCTCAGAGAATTAAGAGACTCACCCCAAATCACAAAGCTGAAAGTAGCAGAATTAGATTCAAACCTGTAACTATTAGATTTCAAAGTGTATACACTTGATCACTACACCATAAGCAAAAGACTCCATAAAGTGGTATGTGGCTTCATGGCACTGTGAACACATGGAGTTATTACTAAGAACTGTGAGTCTTTCGCTTCTGTGATATGAGGAAGAACGGAGCTGGGCCTATGGAAGCTTTAATAGACAACAGAACTTTCCAAAAGTAGAATTAGGCAATTCTCCAACAGTTGTATTTGACTGCAAATGAACACTTTGTCTTTCTACTGGATAGATTTAACTGACTAGTTTTTTGTTTGCTTTTAGGTTCCTTTTCTTTCTTTCTCTCTCTCTCCCCACCCCCCCTTCCCCTATCTCTCTCTCTCCTCTCTCTCTCCTTCTTCTTTGTATCTATCTATCTATCTATACACATATACATGTGTGGGTGTGGCTATCTATCTACACACACACACACACACACACACATATATATATATAGTGGGCATTGCATAGCCATAGCCTCAGGCTCACCAAAAAGAATAGAATCCCCAAAGCTCTCAGCAGTGCTTTCATTCCTGGAGATGGGTACAACCCCAATATCCTGGGGACTCATGTAAAAGCTAATCTGTGACCAGAATCACCAGGCAGTTGTTCTAATTGCCCCCGTTCTTTTGTGAAAAAAAAGAATAGGTAATATGGGGTTTTGTATCTGCCTAAAGAAAAAAGCAACCTAAAATGTGACTTTTCTTACGAGAGCTCTACAAGCTTGTTCTCCAGGCTTCTCTTTAAAATTGTGAAATTAAAACCAGCAAGGGCAGGGGTTGAAAGTAGAGGGTAGAGGAAAAAAATGGCGTTTAGAAAGAACTGAATCCTAAATAACATTTTAAAGTGAGAAAACTATTAATTGAGAAACCTCATCTTTGTGTTTCACTATAGGCAGCCCAAAAGCCAACAGCATGCCTTAGCTTTCAAGCAGACAGTGTCTCTGTTTCTCCAAGGGCACAGCAGAGATGTTGCCGGGCAACAGTTATCCGAGGGACGCCCCTTTGTCCATAAGGAGAGTCTGCAGAGGCAGTCGCTTGGGAGGGTAACAGGACTCTGTGAGAAGTAAAGGAAGACAGTCCAGGGAGGGGCTGTGTGTCCCTATTGCTGGGGGCTGGAGGAGCCAGAAAGCATGTCTTATCATTTGAGGTGAAAAATCCTAATCCACCTGCCTGGTGACATGGCTTTGGCTGATGATGATATTTAGTAGTTGGGCTACAGGGAGCAGCTTAGTCCAAATATAGTCTGTTTAGCTGAACTTCTTAGCTCAGATTGGAGGGAAATGCCAGTAAGGCAGAGCACATGGGTTATAGCCCTTTCTGAGCCAGTTAACTTTGCAGAAAAAACACCTATTCCACAACCACCTGTGCACCACTGTGACAGCAGAATGTGCCATGGCTCATAGGGGGAAGCTGGGCTGGTGCTCTTTAGGAGCCCCCAAATCCTTGTCATTCCCCAAACCCACCTACTTCTTGACCATCCTCTTACTGCGACTTGGGTTATTCTTCCACTTTGGAAAGTTCTCTCCCATTCCTTTGACCTTTAAAGCCCTACTCAATTACTTTCTTTGGTGAAGCCCTTTCAATGACCAAAGGCTGAAAGTATTGATGCCTTCTCTTTGAGTCTATTTGATGTCTTTATCTTTTAAATGGTGCATCAGATACACCAGATGTAAACTTTTCATAGACATGTGCTCTCCCCACCAAGGTTCATGCTCTCTGGGATGTACAATGTCTATGGCCTATCTAGCCCAGCGCCATCCCTGCATCAGACCTCTATTCACGGCTCTTGATTGCAGTGTTTCTTGACAATGTGTCAGTAATGGCATCTTCAGTGAGGGAAGGAAGGCACGTGAATAGGATCAGTGTGACTCTGGGACTGTGGCTGTGTTCCCTCATGTTATTCATTCAACACGTAGAAAAACATATTTTCTGAGTTCTAGATCTACCAGGTGCAACATGGGATGATACAGGTACCCTGAGGGTGACAAAAATAAACAAAATGTCATCTCTCCCCTCTTGAGTCTCATATCTGAGCTCTCACTGTCTGAAGCTAGATATGTTCTGCAGTTTCTCCAGAGAAACAGAACCAAGAGGAGACTAGCGTGTGTGTGTGTGCGCGCGTGCGTGTGTGTGTGTGGGAATTGGCTCACTTGATTAATTATGGAGACTAAGCATCCCATGAGCTGCCACCTGCAAGCAGGAGACCCAGGAGAGCTGGTGCTGTCACTCTGTGCGAGTCCAAAGGCCTGAGAACCAGCGAAGCCAACGGTGTAGATTCCAGTCCCAGGGCAGGAGATGAGAGATGTCCCAGCCCAGGTAGTGAGACTGGAAAAAGCAGGCAAATTCCCGCTTCCTCCACCTTTTGTTCTAGTTAGGCCCTCGACAGATTGGATGATGTCTGTCCACACGGTGGAGGGCAATCCACTGATTCAAATGCCAATCTCATCCAGGAACACCCAGAAGCAACGCTTAACCTGGGCACCCTGTAGTCCACCCAGGTTGACATGCAAAGTTAACCATCACAAGTACAAATAAATGGTCCATTTTTACAGTGATGATTTGTCAGCCAGTGGGTATTAGGAGTTGTGTGCGAAGCTCAGACTCAGGTGCTGATAAGAGATACAAAATGACAGAAGGGCTCCTGACCTGGAGAAGTTTCTATTTCAATAGAGAGAAAGTATAAACTATGTGGAAAAATACAGAATGCCCTATGCAATGGTGCCTCAATTTCTGGCATTGTGGAGGATTTATACCACTCCTCAAGAGGGGATGTTCTAGATAAATAAAATTTACACTGCCAACTGCCCAAACTTCATGTTGACCAGTTTTTGATTACAGTCCTTCTAATGGGTTTTATAATTTCCTTGGTCTTTTAAACAGAAGTTATTAAATCTAATTTAACTTTTTCCTTGGAGCCTTCAAAATTTCCAGGGGGAAAGAAAGAATTTCTCACTCGGAGGAGCCAGAGTGGGCTCCATGAGAAAGCACAATTGAGTAACTTGAGGGTTGGGTGAACAGCTGAACCTAAAGAATCTTGAATAACATGTTGGCATCAGACTGGGGTGAGATTGCAGTTGAAAATATAAAAGGCACATTATCAGATTTGCAGATGGCTAAGTTGGATGCGCTAGCTGGCTAACGTACGGTGCTAATGTACGGTGGCAGAATGAGACATGTGGACAGGAAGAGACAATGGACTGAAACTGACAAAATGAAGTCTAATAAGGATAAATGCCAGCAGTTCATGCGAAAAAGACCCTTGGCTTTCAGCTAAGTACAGGCTCAGCATGAGTCACCATCAGTCCAACGTGGCTGCCAAATTCCGAGTGTTTACCATACGCCAGGCACTGTGGGAGGTCATTTACACACACTATATAACTCAATCCTCTGTGAAGGAGCTATTATTTTTATCTTCATTTTAAAGAGGAGGAAACTGAAGTTCAGAGGTTAAGTAACTTACTTACCCGAGATTATGCAGCTACTAAGTGGTGGAGCCAGGACTCGAATCCAAGATTGAATGATTCCAGAACTTGAGCTCTTAACCCCTAGGCAATGTGACCAAAATCTTCTGTTGAATTAATAAATTGTGGGCTAGGCATGGTGGCTCACGCCTGTAATCCTAGCACTTTGGGAGGCCGAGGCGGGGGGATCACCTGAGGTCAGGAGTTCGAGACCAGCCTGGCCAGCATGGTGAAAACCTGTCTCTACTAAAAATAAAATAAAATAAAAAATTAGCAGGGTGTGGTGGTACATGCCTGTAGTCCCAGCTACTCAGGAGGCTGAGGCAAGAGAATCTGTTGAACCTGGGAGGCGGAGGTTGCGGTGAACTGAGATCACACCACTGCACTCCAGCCTGGATGACAGAGTGAGACTCCATCTCAAAAAAAATTTTTTTTAATTTTAAAAATTAA